CAGGTGGATGTCCGTGATGCGGCGGCGTTCGCCTCCATCTCGAAGGCCACGACCAGTGTCCCAGCTGATGGAGCGCCCGTCCTGGGCTGCGGCGCAGGCTGGACAAAACTTGGTCCCACTGCGCTTAGGCGGACCGTCGGGTCATGAGTCGTTGTCTCACTCTCACCCTTTTCATGGCCGTTGGATCCAGTAGGGTCTGAGTCAAGTGGTAGAGGGACCTGGCGCTTGGTGGACTGCAAAATCACCCGCGTCACGTGGAAATAGACATGGACATGGTCCCATATAGTCGCACTCCAGCACGCGATCAGGAGGTAACTCATAATGTCCTGCTTCCTGCACTTGGTATACCATGGTGAGGTCGACCAGGCTGCGACGTGGGCCACGGAGAAGACCAAGTAGTCATTGGGGGTGTGAGGTCACCTGGTGCAGCAGAGGGTTGGTGATTGGGCTCACGCTTCCATGAAAGGCCGCTTGGACCACGCGTGATCCAGGATCTGGCCGCGCGTCGCTCTCTTGTAGCGCGAGGCCGTGTTGTAAGCTCGACAAGGACGGCCGAAAAGAAGCTCGACAAGATAAAACCACATGCTCGACAAGAAACAAACGCATGAACTCGACAAAAAGCTAGTCACAAGCCCAACAAGTCAAGCGGTCTTGCTGTTTGCTTGTGAGTCGTGCTCTTTCGCCGTCCGCTCAACAGATTTGGAAACGGAATTTTTCGGTTTTTGGACGGTTTGTTGCCGTTTGTTTGCGGGTCGTGCTCTTGAGCCGTCCGCTCGACGGATTGTGAACGGTCTTTTGCGGCTTTTGACGGTCTTTTGGCGTTTGCTTATGGCGTTTGCTACGAAGGGTAGGACAGCGAGAGAGAGAGAGAGAGAGCAGCAAACTGTCTAAACATGTCCCATCATTGCAATGGCACCTTTTCCTTCTTCTTCCTCTCCAAGGCCTGCTATCCGTAGAAAAAACACAGTGACAAGAAGTTCGCACTTCGTGTCACATACTACACTTCTTGAAGTGTGCTCAGCGCCCTGCCTCGCTTCTCTCCGAATCCCTGGGCGCCAGTGGGCTCGCAGCTAGGGCCATATTCTAAATCGCTGGTACAAGGTAAACCTACAGTCCCAACAAGTAAGTCACTGCAAAACCACCTGGAAAAACCTACAATGTGTATATGTCCGTGTCAGAAAACCAGGTGAAACCTAAACAGCCGCGGTAACATTCAAACCTTGCACATTCACTCGTGCTGGTTGTCTAACTTCCCCCCTCAACTTTTGTCAGACCTAAAATGTAATGTCTGTCGTGTACATGGAAAACCTTGTCGGCAACCATGCAATTCTTGTCGGGGAAAGAACCCGTGCTCTTGTAGCGCCAAGTCTGGTGCTCCTCGTCCCAAGCGTAGCTCTTTGCATCCAACGCATTGCCAGTCATCCTCAAGGTTGAGGGCGATGTGATGGGCACCAGGGAACCTGTGGAGCTCAGCGAAGATTCCACGCAAGCTCAGCAGCGATCAGATCTTTGGGTCCACCGAAGCACCACCAAAGACCAACAGGGAGCGCGGGCAGGCTCCGCTGCCAACTCGGTAAAGCGCGTGCTCATGCGCTCACCGTCTTTTTGCTGCAAACCTTGAGGCAACAGGTGCACCTGTTCAACCGACATGCCAAGTGTGCTTCACGAAACGGCTTCCCAAAACTGCAAAGTGTCACGGAATGTCCAAACATCAAACTTTTCTCGAAAAGTCCAAAAGTCGAAGAGTCCAAGTTTTTCTCGAAAAGTCGAACAGTCCTGCTCTTCTCGACTAGTCGAAAAGTCCAACTTTTCTTGAAAGTGAAACTTTTCTTGCAAAGTCAAAACATGTTTGCAACATGTTTATATACTCATGTTTGCTGTAATTGTTGGCTTGCGAAGTGCTAACGTGGTCTGCAACAGGTTCTTTGCGGGGAGGTTCTCTATGGAACTTGACTTTTCTTGTTTGGAATGCATGAAAGCCTATTTTTCAGAGAGCTTCGGATCCCCGAAACAAAATCGGTCTTCTCCCACCAGCTTTTGTCGATCCATGCTGGCAAGCTTCCCAGCTTCGAATTCCAGAGAAATGCCTCCAGGACACATTGACAAAGGAGCACAAGGAGCACCATCATTTGCTAAAATTGACCAAACAAAGTTGGATCTACAAACTACAGAATACTAGCAACTCAAGAAGTGTAGAACCCTAGCACAAACCTGTGAATTGTGGGTGCCTGCACTCTAGCAAAAGCAACAGTGGCTGTCAGAATCTCTCTTCTTGAAAGGTCTGGTGGCGCCCTGTGCCTTCCTCGAGCTGTGCAAAAGTCTTCAAGAATGTTCTAAGTTCTATCTTCACCCAAACAAAGAAACCTATGTTAACGTGCAAGCTTGGTGGCGATCTAAAATTGCTTATCAGTGCAGTACTGACCTGCAGGTCGGAGAGAAACAAAATGGTGCAAGCAAGCTCCTTGCCTAAAAAGATGGAGTTGCTAAAGATCACAGCTGCAAACACGCCTGCACTTCACTCGTTGTTCGTATGTTGGATAGAAGAATGCCAAATTCATCAAACAGCGGAAACACCCAAGCAAATCTAAACTGTCAGAATTCAATGGGAATTCGGAAAACCCTTCCACCAGCAAAGGATGAAAACAGCTTGCTCACCTTCAAAGTGCTTGGAAATGACCCACTTTGCAAGCTTGTAGCTCCAAGTCTTTGGCTCATGATGCACATGCTTTGTTTCTGTCTCATCCTCGGTGTCATTAGTAATTTGCAAGAAGAATGTGATCTTTGTCTTCAAATCTTGTGGCTTGGAGTTATGTTGTATGTGATGTTTGGCCACATCGCCATCCAATTTTCGAGGCACTGGGTGTGCCGTTCGCGCAGCTCTCCGTCGGGAGCGCTCATCTGCCAACACCTTTATTCGACGTGGCAGTGTTTCCCATCTTGCACTTGAAGGGTGGCAAGATGACAAGTGAGGTATCCTGAGGTCAGCACCTCATAATCTTCCTCTTCCAAAAGAGGTATCCTCGGGTCACTCAGCTCCGGAATCAGGCCTTTCGATGGTACAAATAGAAGCCATTCAGTTTGCCACCGAGCATCGAGTTCACTTGCCACCGCTTCTTTTTAACTTTGCGTCCCCTGGCGCAAACCATAGCAAAGCCGCAAGGTTGTTTTCGATACTGTTGGTTGTGAGGTCACATCAAAGTCAGCGGCCCACAGCGGATGACAGTAAGGATGGCAACAAGGGAAAAATGTGAAAAAGGGACAACTTACTTAGAGAGCTTGGTGACAGTCATCTTGCACCTCAGTCAAATCCCTGCCTTGATTCCTCTGTTTTCTGTTCTGATGCCTAACCAAGGAACATGAAAACATGGGCTCAGCGGCTGGTGAGCTCCACATAAAACGCCCCTAAAGGCATCTCCTTTGAACTCACCCTTTTCCATATTTCAATTGTAACAGCGCACCTCCACATGCAAGGAGGTCCTCATCTTTGCATCAGAGTCTTCCAATCGCGCTTCGTGCAGCAGCGCATGTAAGGGATCCAAGGGGTCTGGGCTGTCGCTGTCCGGCACGGTCGCTTCCCGGACAGCCAAGTCCACCGGCCATCGGTCAGGAGGGTCGTTCCGGTCGGGTGGAGAAAGTGGTTGAGAAAGTACAGAAGAAAGGCCTCAAAGAAAGCTTCTACTAGCTTCTTGGCACTTGTTACTAGTAGCGATGCACTTGTTATTAGTAGCGATGCACTTGTTACTACTACAGAAGAAAGGCCCCAAAGACTCAAAGCAGCGACATCCTCTGCAATTGATCCAAGTGACGGTTGAAGAGCTCATCCTGTCTTCGTTGGATGATCTCGTCGATTTGCCTCACTTGTTTAGTAGTAGTAGTAGTAGTAGTAGTAGTAGTAGTAGTAATGTTATAGTGTGTAATGTTATAGTGTGTAATGTTATAGTGTGTAAGTGTGTATGGATACGAAGACCGGAGTCCTCTGCGATCATTTCCAATTTGTTAAGATAGCTAGCACCTTTTCGGACGTCTTCATAAGCCGAGTTGCATAATCAGCTGGTCCATGTTGGCCTAAGAATAAGGGTCCATTATGTGTTTGCTGCCTTAAACGTTAGTGGTCGAAAGATAGCACAGCAACGTCACAAGCCAAGCATCCTCCTCTTTAGGACTCTTGCGATCCTGCCATTTCGAACACTGTGCTCGGAGAAAACAAAAGGGAACTACCTCCTGTGGGATTGCAAGTCTTCAATCCGGTAAAGCCATTGGAAAAGTAACTCATCAACCACTCAGAAGGCCACCCAATGCCGTTATTACCTCCAAACCTTTGTGCATTTGTACGGATCGGAGTGTTTAGAGACACCTGAAGCGGTAGGTTTACTGTTGGATACATTTCAGTTAACAGATCTGCAAACAACCGCATTGACCCTGGCCCTAACAATACCCATTAGTTATACAAACAAGCAAGATAATGAAGCTCTTTTGCCCTTGGCAAGGCCTTCTTAGAAAAATCAAGCAACTCACAAACATTTTAGTTGCCAAATGTGTGAAGCTTACTCTGTGAAATGGTTCCTCTTTGTGAACCTAACACATTGTGCGTAATCTTTATTGTGACTTATGACTCATGACTCATGACTACTATATATATAATATACATATACGTCTCGTGTAGGCGTTCTAGTTCTCTCTTTTAAAGGCTTTCACTGTTCAGTTCTTCTGGGTAGGGCCAGCAGCCATAAGTCTCACTCACTCGTAGGTTGCCTTGAAAGGAAAAACACCATAATGAAAGGAAGCTTCGCGTCACCCTTCCTTCAAGAGCGCCATAGCTGGCTATCTCAAGGGCTGGCTATCGAGCCAAAAGGCTTGGAGCGACGAGAGGGTCAGCCGGCCAAAAGCGCTCCGTTCTGTCAAACCTACCCTGTCTTGAACTACAAATACACAAGCCACGCAAGTAGTGGACCCTGTGTTGAAGTCATTCAACACGCACCAACACGCACGTCCGCTTTTGCTTATTCCAGCCGCGGCTTCTTGGCCTATCACTGGGATCGATGACATTGAATCAAAGCAGCAAGGCAAGGCCGGGCCTCCGGCAACTCTTCTCCTGATCATTTGCAGGGGTGCAACTCTTCTTTTCTGGATGCTAGGGTCCAAAGGATACAGAAATTAAACAAAGAAAGGAATCAACCAACACAAGGTATGGAGCTGTATGGGAACCACCAGGCTGTGCTTAAGAGACATGTTGAAAGCTCGCTCTTTCCCCGCTCCTTCCCAGCAAAAGATAGCTGCCACAGTGGCCACCTCTGATGCCTTCGCCTTCTCCTCCAGCTGCGTCAGGGGTCATCGTCATTTCCAGCCATGTGGTCACTTCCGTAGAGGACATGTGACATGGAGTCGTGAACCCATCCCTATATTGAACTAAGAAAAGCAGAAGGCTTGATCATCCCTCGGATTGGCAGCACTGAAATCGCACTGGACTGGAAGGAGAGTATGGAGATGGGCCTTCAGCTAGTACCTGAATCCTCTCCACAAAGAATATCCAGTATGCTTGCAAATCTCTAAGTCGAGGTACCAAGGTACCAATCCAACGCATCCAAGTCCAAAAAATCTGACGTCTCTGATGTCTCCACCAAGGTATTCACCAATCTTGACACTGCAGCCTCAAACATACAGAAACATGTGTACACCTTGCGAAGTAGACTTTGTTGTGCTCCAAAGAAGATGCACACCCCCAAATATTGCCAACAATTGATGCGACCCCCCAAAAAGCTTCGACGCATGTGTCTGTGATAATTTCAGAAAATCCATACGACTAAAACGCGGGGCTGTAAGAGGGAGAAACAGCAAGCTTGTGCTCCGTCAAAGCAGAGTGCCCAATTCAGATTGCTTCCCAGTCCTGCTGCACCCAATTGGCCTCACCCTTGGATGCCTGACCAATCAATCAGTGCTTCACAAATGAGACAAGACTTCCGTGGGCTATGATGTGGCACCGTGGCACCGATTTAGCAGCCAACTATATAAGCATGTCCAGAGTCAGAGATAAATACACAATCTTTACAGTAATATCGGCGATACCTTTATTTGCTTCATCTCCAAAAATCCAGCCCAAGCCTCTTTCAAGCGATCCTTTGCTTGCCTCAACAGGAACGAAAACACATCAAGGAAACACTAATTCGGATGATGAACATGTTGACGACATAGGTCGCAGTTAAGCCAAAACGGAAGAGAATGATCCGTTGACGTGCCCGCCAAGAAAAGGATCAAAATAACAAATAACACGAATATATCCTCTAGCCCAAGCAGCTCAGAAAGAACTTGGCTGGCTTTGGCTGCATCCGGCACGCATGCCTTCAGAGCAACAGGAGATAGCCCGGAATTTGCACAGCTCAAGTGTTCAAAACAAACGGTAGCGGGTAAAGCCAGCCAGGCCTCAGCAATCGCACCGATATCCTGCAAGGAAGACTTGCAACTCCGTTGAACTCATTGCCTGTGCTATCAGTCAAAGCCAAGGGCGGGTTCGCTCTCAGTGTTGGAAACATGCAGAGAGAGATATGGCTATTGCCACGTTTCCCAGGGCTCTGATCATTCAGCCTTGAACCGGAGAGCGATCTTAAAACATCGAGGGTAAGCGACAAAGCGGTGAAACGTATGTGCCCCTCAGAGCCAACCTCAAGGCTGAAAAAATCCACCTCTGGCAAGTCTTTCGGACGCCCTTTTACTGTTCCATCCATGTGTTGTAGAACCTGGAATCTGTCGTAGGTGCGTGTTCATACCGCCTGTCTTGACATCGGACCAGTGGCCACCGTCTCCTGGGGAGTAAAGCCACTTGCAAATAGTCCGGCAGTGCCCAGTATGAGCAGCGAATGATCACCTCAAAGCATAGGAGAAGCCTAAAGCTCAAGGATTTCAATTGTGCAACTTGCCGCGTCCTTTTAAACATGGAGTGTCTTTCAGAGAGCGAACTTCTTGAGGTGTTACTTGTTTATATATATATATGTTGTTTTGCAGGAAACCTAGGTTTGGTGCGCATGTTGCACGGACATTCACACTGCAACTAACTGTCTGCGGTAATGTGCGCCTGAAGGATTCGGAATACGATTTCGTCAAGTGTTGAAGATCGGAATCACAGTACAGCGCATGCGATTGGTACAAACAAGAGGTCCGCACATGCAAACAGACATGCTTGTAGCAAGGTTCGCAAATGCAAGAGTATGAAAAGGCGAAGAAATGCAAGGTCGTGCAAAAGGTGCTGCCTCGTTGCTTATTGCCCTGTTGTCAAAATGGGTGTGAATTGCCCAACGAAGTCAGGCTCTTTCTTGCCCATTACACAGCAAGTCTTCAACAACGGTGAACGAGAACCGGGCCAGGCTGCAGCTCGATGACCTGATTCTTAGCAGCAGTGGTAGCAGCTGATGAAGCATGTTGACGCAAACGTGTCACTGCTCCCACGTCAACTTGTCACCCGATTTCAACGCGCAAGTATCTGTGGTTTGGAATCTCGTGCATCTTCCGAAGTCACGCAAGCAAACCAAGCAAAATTGCTGTGCCTCTGAGAGCAAATCCTGCAGAATAGCCAAAAAATAATATTTGGAGTCATTTGCACAACTCCAAACTCAATCCATCAAATCCTGAATCTTCACCTTTCATAAGTCTTTTCAGCTTGGCCGACCTTCTTTGTTTAGCTTTAGTTTCAATGTGTTTACTGTGTCCTCCGTCCACCGAGACTTGACCGGTCTCCTCCAAACGCAGCTTCTCTGCGGCCTTTCCGCCCGCCGCAGCCGCCGCTTGCGCCTTCACCGCGGCAGCCCCCGCGGCGGCCACGGCCTGGGAGCCGGGGCGCTTCCCGCCGGGCAGCGCCACCTGAAGCGAAACCATAAAGCGAAAAAGCGAAAAGCCGCTGTCAGTAGCTTCTTTGCTCCTAGTAGCGATGCCCTTGCTCCTAGCAATGCCAGGAGCTACTAGTAGCTTCTTTGCTACTAGTAGCAATGGCCTCCAACCGAAAACCAAAATTGCCGTGACAAGTCTTGGATGGCCATTGTGACATCTTTGTTTTCGATGCTGTCTACTTGCTGTTCTTTGGGGACTAGTTTTGTACCGCGCAAGAATCAAATACATTCCACAACAACAAGGTCAGGATGACAATCATGGTTAACCTCTGATCAAGTGCTTTACATTCAGCACGAAAAATGCGCTGAGTACCCGTGCTGAACCGCCAATCTGCTGCACAGGGGTGCGCGCCTGAGATAAAGGCTTACAGCTGGGGGAGATATATAGCTGATGTTGCTTGGAAATGTTCATAAGGTTCGACTGCCGCTTCAATGGGTTCTTTAAGTACTTATGACTTATGACGTGTTGTTCAAAAGGATTCCGGAGAGAATCCCCTTTTCATCTCTTTCAGACAGTATCACTATGATCTTACTCAGAAAACTCTTGCAGATCTGACCATCCAGGGCACCCGAAGACGCATCAAACTCTTGGCACGCTTCTGCTCAGGGGTCTCCTGCGAGCAGCGCCGCAGCACACCATCCTGGCATTCCGAGAACCAGGACCCTGAACCAAAACAAGATGAAGCCCACGAACCCGAATGCAAACACATTCGAAAAGCTACATATGTCCAAATGACACTCTTGTAGGACACTCTTGTGGGTCACTCACTCTTGTGGGACACTCTTACAGGACACTCTTGTGGCACACTCTTGTAGGACACTGTTGTGGGACACTCTAGTAGGACACTCTTGTGGGACACTCTTGTGGGACACTCTTGCGGGTCACTCTTGTAGGAAACTCTTGTGGGACACTCTTACGGGACACTCTTGTGGGTCACTCGTGTCGGAAACTCTTGTGGGACACTCTTATGGGACACTCTTGTAGGACACTCTTGTGGGACCCTCTTATAGGACACTCTTGTGGGACACTCTTATGCGAGATTCTTATCGGACACTCTTGTGGGACACTCTTGTGGGACACTCTTGTAGGGCACTCTTGTGGGTCACTCTCACTCTTGTAGGACACTCTTGTGGGACACTCTTGTAGGACACTCTTGTCGCACACTCTTGTAGGACACTCTCTCTTCTAACAAACACTCTTATAGGACACTCCTGTGGGGCACTCTTGTGGGACACTCTTGTAGGACACTCTTGTGGGACACTCTTGTAGGTCACTCTTGCGGGTCACTCTTGTAGGAAACTCTTGCGGGGCAATCTTTTTGGACACTCTTGTGGACACTCTGACGGGACGCTCTTGTAGGACACTCTTCTGGGACGCTCTTGTGGGACACTCTTGTGAGACACTCTTGTAGCACACTCTTGCGGTTTACTCTTACGGGACACTGTTCTGAGACACTCTTGTAGGACACTCTTGTGGGACACTCTTGTAGGACACATGATGCCACAAATCATCCCGCTCACCAGCGACACGCCGCGTTTACGCCAGCATGTTTCGCGCTCCCTAGTGGCACGGCGCCACGCAAACGCACTTCCACAAAGTCCGCGCAAAGCCCAATGGCGCTGCGACATCACGAATGTATTTTCGCCACACGGTTCACCACACACAAGAAGCAAACATATCACATGATACCACAAATACTCGATACCACCAATCATCCCGCTCACCAGCGACGCGCCGCGTTTACACCAGCATGTTTCACACTCCCCAGTGGCACGGCGTCACGCAAACACACTTCCCCCAAGGCCGCGCAAATCCGCATGGCACTGCGACATCACGAACGTATTTTCGCCACACGGTCCACCACACACAGGAAGCAAACATATCACACGATACCACAAATCAACCCGCTCACCAGCGACACGCCGCGTTTATACCAGCATGTTTCACACTCCCCAGAGGCACGGCGCCACGCAAACACACTCCCGACCAGGCCCGCGCAAATCCCAATGGCACAGCGACGCCGCGAACGTACTTTCGCCACACGGTCTGCCCACACGCGACAAGCTATCATATCACACGATACCGCCACTCATCCCGCTCACCAGCAACACGCCGCGTTTACACCAGCGTGTTTCGCGCTCCCCAATGGCACGCGGCGTCCCATAAACGCACTTTCCACCCAGACCGCGCAAATCCCAATGGCATTACGACATCGCGAACATAATTTCGCCACACGGTCTGCCTTTGCACTACAAGCGTTTCGTACGTAACGTTCTCCTAAAGTCATGCCGACAGTCTCCTAAACGAGCGTTTCGTACTTCCTCAAAAAGTCACACGTCAAGTCTCCAAAACGAGCGTTTCATACGAGACCTCCTCAAAAAGTCACATGTCAAAGTCTGCAAAACGAGCGTTTCGTACGAGACCTCCTCAAAAACTCACATGTCAAAGTCTGCAAAACGAGCGTTTCGTACGAGACTTCCTCCAAAAGTCAAGCGGGAACACCCATCGGAGCACACTCTGACATTGGTTTTCAGTTAGACTCAATTGCCACGATGGGA